ATATATATGTATGTTTTAAATCCAATAAAAACAGATGGAACATCAAACAGCAGACATTACACACACTCTCACAGTAAAATGATTACATAAAAAGCCAGAGCACTTTGGACAAATCTCATCTTTATCTTATTGAGTCTGAGAAATATCAAATGCATTCACATTTATGAGTGTGCAGGATCAGGATGTGATCTATACAGACATACATATGGATACTTAAACCCCTTCAGACACTGCATCCACTGAAATGGACATGATGTAGTTTAAGGTCTAGACCAACAAAAGTCTGTGATTTTGTCACGTCATTCACTTCATGCTTTGTTATTGATCGTTCCTGATTATTCACAATGAAGTTATGACTTGATCTGAGAGAGCTGCAGGCATCAGACAAGACAAGGAGGATTAAAAGCTCCTTCTTGTCCTCATAAATATTAATTTATGTTGATTGTAATCAATTTGCACTCAGCATAATTGTAACAATTCAAACTGATGATATTTTAAATTATTCAGAATATATTTCATAACTGTAAAGTACAGGATTTTTTTTTTCTTTAAGTTCAGTTCAGTCCATTCCAATACAAAACAAACAAAAACTGTCAATCCCGAGCTTCTTGGGTAATCTTTAAAACCTGTTTGTGTTATCCAGTAGTGTTTTAATATTTGTTTTCAGGCACTTACTCGGTTTTATTGACTGGAAACAGTGAAACCGTTCCCACTCGGCTATGTCCTGTGACAAAGAATGTTTTAAGTGGTAGCAGGTTATATTCAAGTATAGCTAATGTATGCAGCAACAGTGTCTCAATCACACAGCAAAGAAGAAGTTAAGCTTGTAAATACAATGGATTAAAGAAAAAAAAGGCTTCTAGCTTTAAGGAGCTGCACAGGTAGCATGTTGATCAGGAAAAGGGGCTTTCAGTAACGCCTGAGGAGGTTTTGTTTAATAGATATTAGTCAAATAATTCAAGTGCAGCAGCTTTGTAGACACCACATGATTCTGATAATCTATCTGGTATCACCTCCATCCATCCATGCATCATCTATACACTGCTTAGTCCTCACTAGGGTCATGAGGCAGACAACAAAGCACATTCACACCTACGGACAATTTAGAATCACCAATTAACCTCAACATGTTTTTGGACTGTGTGGGAGGAAGCTGGAGAACCCGGAGAGAACCCACGCTGCACGGGGAGAACATGCAAACTCCACGCAGAAAGATCCCGGGTGACACGAACCGGCGACCTTCTAGCTGCGAGGCAACGGTGCTAACCACCGAGCCACCTTGCAGCCCTTAGCATCACATCATTACTTTAAATTCATTTTTGAGATAATCCCTTCATGGATGCTGTGGTGGTTTGGGATGTTAGTGCAACAACAAGCTTCACTCCCAATATAAAACTAGCGTGCTCTTGGCTTAAAACTGTGTAAAATAGATGAATACTAAAATAATGATTAAAATAAAGAGCTTAGAATTCCAATTACATACGTGACCAAAACTGCTGCTTGTTGGAGAATGAAAGATTCATTTGTGTACTAAGGTTTAGACCTGAACAGGTGAAATTAAACACTTACAACAATAAAACATATAGAAAAACAAGCGTTATATAAAAGTACTGACATTCAGTCGGATACAGGGACACGCTACTGAATATATCTCTTGTTTTTTTTAAAGATATTTTCACCAAACATTCCAGCAACAAGCTGGTGCAAAATAAAAAAAATAAAAAATTCTGACAGGCCGCAGAAGGCAGCAGAAGGAGGTCACACAGCACTCTGAGGATCTCGGGCAGATGGACACAAATTTAGAGGATTTATAAATATGCAGGGGCATGTCAGACCCATTCTGTTTTTCCTGGCAGTGTTTCAGAGTCGTCGTCCTCCTCTACGCCCCCTGAGTACAGGTCAGCCAATCTGCTGAAACGTTGTCCCCATTGCCCTAAGCTCCGAAAGTCCTGCTCCTCGTCCGAGTCTGACGAACCGATGGAGCTGAGTGAGTCCGCCTCAGAACCGGCACCTTCATAGTCAAACACCAGGAGGGAGTCGTAGGGAGGAGCTGCGGGGTCACCGTCTGCAGCACACAGGTTCTAGAGGGGAAACAAACGGTAGAAACAGTCAGTAAAATGTGCCGTCTAGTAGGTATAAGACTGCATGTAAATGTTAGCATCACTCACGTCCTCGATGAATTTGCTAATCTCCTCGTTATCTTGGATTTGTAGCCGGTAGCAGGGGCGGCTCTGGACGGTGGGAAACACGTCGGTGCAGAAGACCTCGGGTCGGTTATCGAGCCCTCTGTGGAGTTGGCTCAGGTCGTAGTCCTTCAGAAAAACAACAGGAAATCATTTGTAAATATCACATTGAAACAACAAGGCGTGAAAATACAGAGCTGCCTCAACATAATGTACCTCCAACTCTAGTTTCCGTGGAAGGGCTTATGTACCATAATCAATACCTTTAATGTGTGTTATGGTTTCACTTCATTGCCCTGTAGGTGCCTCTCTTTATTGCATGTTTCATCATTAATGCCACATCATACGTCTGGTTGTTCCCCTTCTGTCCACAAGTTGTCCTCAGTGAGCAGTGACTATATCACCCAATCCAGACATCCAGCATTCTCTTTATATCTCCTTACGATCACCTTCTGCTTATCTTTTTGGTGTGTTTGCTCAGCTTGCCTGCCTCTCTGTTCAGCCTGAGCACTGGGATGGGGGATTGCTTTTTGCTCTGCTTTGCATGTGAGTTGAAATACGTGAGCCTATAACAGGGGTGCCCAATCCTGGTACTCGAGAGCCCCTATCCTGCATGTTTTAGATGTTTCCTTCTTCCAACACACCTGATTCACATGATCAGGATCGTTATCAGGCTTCTGCAGAGCTTGATGATGAGCTGATCTTTTGATATAAGGTGTGTTGGAAGAGAGAAACATCTAAAACATGCTGGATTGGGGCTCTCGAGGACCAGGATTGGGCACCCCTGCCTTAAAGTGATGTGTGTCTGATCACACTGTCACTTTAAGGCAGATAAATTAATATCGTTGTCCAATATAAACCGCAGCGTCCTCTAATTACAACGCTGCAGCCCTTAACCGTCTTCTATTGGGCCCTCATCCTGTCCCTACCTGGCTTTAATTACAAACCATGAGGGGCCTTCTGCTTGACCATCTCTGATTTGTGTGATTTATGCTGAAGAATTGTGGGCAAATCAGAGACGGTCGAGCAGAAATTGTTCTAAAAAAATGTGATGATTTGAGATGAAATGATCCACCTTGTCCTCTTCGCCTCCTCCCTCCTCGTCGTAGCAGAAGACGTCGTCTCTGGGCAGATCTTCAAGAAGAGGAGCATCCTTCCTCAACTTCCTCCTTCTCCTTCTCAGCAACAACAGGAGGAGCAGAAGCAGCACTGGAATTCCAAAGAAAAAAAAAAAAATGAAGTGACTAAAGATAGAACAAATGAACTGAAACTAACTTTGAACAAACTGGTCACGTACACAGAACACCAAAAACCGCCCCCAGAGCTGAGGTTGTGAGAGACGGAATGAGCGTCCGAGGGGCAGGAGGAGGGATGAAGCAGGTGGAGACGGCGCCGTCGCATTGGCACACCTCTACGTATAGAGTGCTGTCTTGGTAGAGCATGCCAGCATCATAAATGCGCATCAGCACATAGTAGTCGCCAGGAGATAAGTCTCGTTTGGGGGCCAGAGCTGCCACGTTAGCTGTACAGGAGGGGAAAATGCAGAATAAAGTTGTGTAGAGTCAAACCTCCCCTAACGTGGTTGTGTTTTCAGGTTATGTAGCAGGTTTTAAAAATGATGACACATTGCAAAACCACTTAAGCAGCTGTCATTTTAAGGAAGTGGGAGGCTGCT